ATCAACGCAATCAAGAAGTCATATACTTTATCAACTTTGTTTTCATCTTGAAAATATCCGAGTTCTTCACATTTTGAAATGATTTTATCGATGAAATCTTGATTGCTTAATATGTTTTCGGAACCAATACGACATAAATCAATAAGTTTTGATGGTTCTATTTCCGAAATATTTTTCGCTATGAATATGATAATGTCATCTAGTTTTTCATTGTAATTCTTTCGCGATTTTCTTATAAATGAAAGGACTTCTTCTATATTTTTTAAGTTTATTTCATCTCTGAAAATAAGAGTACTATACCAATCGAAAAAGTCTTCAATCTCGAGATCTATGCCTATTTGATATATTTCTTTCAGAATATCTTCAGAAATTTCGATAGAAACTTTGTTTTTTATAAAAAGTTGATAAAAGATTTTAAATGTTTCATCACTGACTCCTTTTAGTTTATATTCTTCAATGTTTTCTCCTTGCATGTAGTCATTCATAACTTTCCTGCTATATGAACACAATGTTTTAAAAGGAACTTCCATTTGATGATTTCCATCGCTGATTTTGATCTTTTTATCATCCACAATACTATTAAATTGAAATTGCTTAAATGCTCTTCTGGCAACAAATTCGGGCATCTATTAAAAATCCAAAATAAATTGAATACTTATCAATTCAAAATTTTTAGAGATTCTTTATTTTTAATAGATTTATAATCCCGAAACAATTTTAAGCGATTCATATTCCAATATATTCAAAATATTTTTCTGAGAAAAGTTCAGAAAAGTTTGTATTATATTTATAATTGCATCGCTAATAATGCAAAAATATATTTATTAAATAAGCAATTATTCTTTAAAATATAATTACTGAAATTACGATTATTTTTTATTCAAATACGAAATTGTATTGGATGAAAAATTTTGCGTAATTTATAGTTTTCTAATTAATTATTTGCGTATAATGTACATTTATTAATAAAATTTGTACTCTTAGGCCTTATTTAAGCTGATTTTTTTACTAATGTCAAAAGAAATTCATTTTGATTAGTGTCAGATTCTTGAAAGATTTGGGTCTATTTTTCCTTTGAAATTCTATTATTTCAAGAGAATTGAGATTCGAAAGATATGATTTAGCTAAATATTTATGTTATTCGTTAATTCTAAATGATTTTTTGTCTAGAATATATTATCATTATATTGGATCTTTGATGGGAAATCGCTATTGTAAGGAAACCATCAATTGTAAATGGAAATTTTAGAAAACCTCAAGATGTCTAAGCATCCTCTTTGATAAGTAAAATTCTTTGAATTTTGATATATTAATTGGATAAATCATTAGTTAAGTTAATTTTATTTCTATTTCTTTATGAAAAATAATAAATATACTCATTAGGATGTTAAGATCAAATAAATATCTATAACAATAGGCTGGACATGTGTGTATTTCAATTGAATAATATGAAATAGTGTAACTTTTGAGTATATCCGAAATTGCAGCAGGAAGGGAAATTCCCAATGGGAAAATAAAATTTCGTAAATTATTTGAGTTAGTAAAAGCATATTGATTAATATAAGTGATTTCATTTTGAAATATTAGCGAATTTATATAAGATTGGTATGAGAAAGATTGGTCTCTAATGATTTTAACATTTTTTGGTAAATAAAATACTTTTGCAGTTCGAGCTGATGGATAATGTACTATTTCCTCGAAATTTTTTGTGTATAATACACCATCTAACGAAGTAAAATATGGATTCTGTTCATCAACAAATATATTTTCGAGCGATCTCAATGCATTGAAAGGATCCAATTCATTGATAATTTTGACGGACTTAGGTAAGAAAATTTCTTTAATAGGAGCATTGATGATTGGGTCATCTTGTATTTCAACAATTGTGTCAGAAAGAGTAACATTTGTTATAAAAGAAGAATCAATACACTGTGTTGATAAAATTCTACAACTACTGTCAATAATAATTGTTGTATACTGACTTTCAATAGCTTGTTTCTCAAGAATTCCGTCAGTACATGATAATGTTTTTACATTTATTGTAGAACTAAATGAATTTTGGAATCAATAAAAAATTTATATTTTGTCACTTTTTAAAATAAGATCTGACATTTGCTCTATTTAAAAATGAACAAATAGCATATATAGTTGTTGGATCAGGAGAATTAAGAATGTTTAATAAGCGCCAAGATGTTGTTTGATTTAAAGAATAAAAAACGAGGAATTCGAATATTTCTTCAAAGATTACAAAAAAATTGAAGATAAATTAACACTTTTCCAAACATTCTTCATTCTTTCGTTCTTTGCAAAACCTCACAGATACGGTGTCTATAGAAGTTTGAACTGAGTCAAGTCATTTTCTTTCACAATCACTTCACCGATCACTTATAAATACTTCAAATTTATATGAAGTTCATGAGAGAGTATTGAAGTATTTGCCATATAAGAAAGTTCCTCAAGACAATGTTAAAGACTCTGATAATTTCAGATCAATGCAATTGCAAGATGATAAACAATAATTTGATGATGATTGTTCCGAATCCAGAAGAATTCTTGATTTTTGATTTATTTTATTCATATAGAAATCAATTATTTTTTGCTTATGATTATTCTTTATGAATTCAGATACTCTCAAAAAAATTGAGATTCATAAATTTACGAGATGAAAACTAGTATTTTAGTATATTATAAACTTAGCAATAATAATTTACTTACAATTTGGATTAATGAATCAATATAAATATTAGTATAATTAAAGTCGTCATACAGAAGAAAATTTTTCGATATTTTGATCTTTTAAATAGCCATGAATCAATAGTTATTTTGCTGTCCTTATTTTTACTAGATTTTGATGATTTTGGTTGTTCTGTGTCGGATGTTTGTGATTGAGTTTGATTAGAAAATGTTGATTCATTTTGATTTATATCAGCAGGTATTGATTCATTTTGATTTATATCAACATGTGTTGATTCATTTTGATTTATATCAACAGATGTTGATTCATTTTGATTTATATCAGCAGGTGTTGATTCATTTTGATTTATATCAACATGTGTTGATTCATTTTGATTTATATCAACAGGTGTTGATTCATTTTGATTTATATCAATAGATGTTGATTCATTTTGAATTGTTTCAGCAGGTGTTGATTCATTTTGAATTGTTTCAACAGATGTTGATTCATTTTGATTTATATCAGCAGGTGTTGATTCATTTTGATTTATATCAACAGATGTTGATTCATTTTGAATTGTTTCAGCAGGTATTGATTCATTTTGATTTATATCAACAGATGTTGATTCATTTTGAATTGTTTCAGCAGGTGTTGATTCATTTTGATTTATATCAACAGATGTTGATTCATTTTGAATTGTTTCAACAGATGTTGATTCATTTTGATTTATATCAACAGATGTTGATTCATTTTGATTTATATCAACATGTGTTGATTCATTTTGATTTATATCAGCAGGTATTGATTCATTTTGATTTATATCAACAGATGTTGATTCATTTTGAATTGTTTCAACAGATGTTGATTCATTTTGATTTATATCAACAGATGTTGATTCATTTTGATTTATATCAACAGATGTTGATTCATTTTGATTTATATCAGCAGGTGTTGATTCATTTTGAATTGTTTCAACAGATGTTGATTCATTTTGATTTATATCAACAGATGTTGATTCATTTTGATTTATATCAACAGATGTTGATTCATTTTGATTTATATCAACAGATGTTGATTCATTTTGATTTATATCAGCAGGTGTTGATTCATTTTGATTTATATCAACAGATGTTGATTCATTTTGAATTGTTTCAGCAGGTATTGATTCATTTTGATTTATATCAACAGATGTTGATTCATTTTGAATTGTTTCAGCAGGTATTGATTCATTTTGATTTATATCAACAGGTGTTGATTCATTTTGAATTGTTTCAACAGATGTTGATTCATTTTGATTTATATCAGCAGGTGTTGATTCATTTTGAATTGTTTCAACAGATGTTGATTCATTTTGATTTATATCAGCAGGTGTTGATTCATTTTGAATTGTTTCAACAGGTGTTGATTCATTTTGATTTATATCAGCAGGTGTTGATTCATTTTGATTTATATCAACAGATGTTGATTCATTTTGAATTGTTTCAGCAGGTATTGATTCATTTTGATTTATATCAACAGATGTTGATTCATTTTGAATTGTTTCAGCAGGTATTGATTCATTTTGATTTATATCAACAGATGTTGATTCATTTTGATTTATATCAACAGATGTTGATTCATTTTGAATTGTTTCAACAGATGTTGATTCATTTTGATTTATATCAACAGATGTTGATTCATTTTGATTTATATCAACAGATGTTGATTCATTTTGATTTATATCAACAGGTGTTGATTCATTTTGATTTATATCAACAGATGTTGATTCATTTTGATTTATATCAGCAGGTGTTGATTCATTTTGATTTATATCAACAGATGTTGATTCATTTTGAATTGTTTCAGCAGGTATTGATTCATTTTGATTTATATCAACAGATGTTGATTCATTTTGAATTGTTTCAGCAGGTATTGATTCATTTTGATTTATATCAACAGGTGTTGATTCATTTTGATTTATATCAACAGATGTTGATTCATTTTGATTTATATCAGCAGGTGTTGATTCATTTTGATTTATATCAACAGATGTTGATTCATTTTGAATTGTTTCAGCAGGTATTGATTCATTTTGATTTATATCAACAGATGTTGATTCATTTTGAATTGTTTCAGCAGGTATTGATTCATTTTGATTTATATCAACAGGTGTTGATTCATTTTGATTTATATCAACAGATGTTGATTCATTTTGATTTATATCAGCAGGTGTTGATTCATTTTGATTTATATCAACAGATGTTGATTCATTTTGAATTGTTTCAACAGATGTTGATTCATTTTGATTTATATCAACAGATGTTGATTCATTTTGAATTGTTTCAGCAGGTATTGATTCATTTTGATTTATATCAACAGATGTTGATTCATTTTGATTTATATCAACAGATGTTGATTCATTTTGATTTATATCAGCAGGTGTTGATTCATTTTGATTTATATCAACAGATGTTGATTCATTTTGAATTGTTTCAGCAGGTATTGATTCATTTTGATTTATATCAACAGATGTTGATTCATTTTGAATTGTTTCAGCAGGTATTGATTCATTTTGATTTATATCAACAGGTGTTGATTCATTTTGATTTATATCAACAGATGTTGATTCATTTTGATTTATATCAGCAGGTGTTGATTCATTTTGATTTATATCAACAGATGTTGATTCATTTTGAATTGTTTCAACAGATGTTGATTCATTTTGATTTATATCAACAGATGTTGATTCATTTTGATTTATATCAACAGATGTTGATTCATTTTGATTTATATCAGCAGGTGTTGATTCATTTTGAATTGTTTCAACAGATGTTGATTCATTTTGATTTATATCAACAGATGTTGATTCATTTTGATTTATATCAACAGATGTTGATTCATTTTGAATTGTTTCAGCAGGTATTGATTCATTTTGATTTATATCAACAGGTGTTGATTCATTTTGATTTATATCAACAGATGTTGATTCATTTTGATTTATATCAACAGATGTTGATTCATTTTGAATTGTTTCAACAGATGTTGATTCATTTTGATTTATATCAGCAGATGTTGATTCATTTTGATTTATATCAACAGATGTTGATTCATTTTGATTTATATCAGCAGGTGTTGATTCATTTTGATTTATATCAGCAGGTGTTGATTCATTTTGATTTATATCAACAGATGTTGATTCATTTTGATTTATATCAGCAGGTGTTGATTCATTTTGATTTATATCAACAGATGTTGATTCATTTTGAATTGTTTCAGCAGGTATTGATTCATTTTGATTTATATCAACAGATGTTGATTCATTTTGATTTATATCAACAGATGTTGATTCATTTTGAATTGTTTCAACAGATGTTGATTCATTTTGATTTATATCAACAGATGTTGATTCATTTTGATTTATATCAACAGATGTTGATTCATTTTGAATTGTTTCAGCAGGTGTTGATTCATTTTGATTTATATCAACAGATGTTGATTCATTTTGATTTATATCAGCAGGTGTTGATTCATTTTGATTTATATCAACAGATGTTGATTCATTTTGAATTGTTTCAGCAGGTATTGATTCATTTTGATTTATATCAACAGATGTTGATTCATTTTGAATTGTTTCAGCAGGTATTGATTCATTTTGATTTATATCAACAGGTGTTGATTCATTTTGATTTATATCAACAGATGTTGATTCATTTTGATTTATATCAACATATGCTGATTCGTTTTGATTAGCGTCAGATTTAGTAGATTCCTGTGCTTTATAATTGCTTGAAAAAATTGGGTCAATCTTCTTTATGGTTTCTATTTCTTCAAGAGAATCGCAATTCGAAAGATACGATTTAACTAAATTTTTATGTTTTTCTTTAATTCTAACTAATTTTTTGTCGATAATGTATTTTATTATTTTGTATCTTTGATGAGAAATTGCAATTGTAAGAAAATCATCTTCAGCATTTGGATCAAAATTGTGACAATATATAAGTAAATTCTGGAAAATCTCAAGATGTCCAAGCCTTACGGATCTAAAAATAGGAAGGTCATTATTTGATGAATGTAGAGATGGGTCTGCATCATTTTGAATTAAATAATGGATTATTTCCCAATTACCAGAAGAAACAGCTAGAAGTATACAATTTTGATTTTCTTTGTCTAAGTCTGAAAGTGAAAAGCCTTGAGATACTAGATGCTTAATCATTTCAAAGTTTCCACTTTCACAAGCTGTTAAAACGGCATTTCTCCCTGTGATTTCGTTAGATATTTTAGCATCTAAGCCATTTTTAATGAGAAAATCGAATATCTTTGTGCTGCCACTGATTGATGTGCAAAGAACTGCATTGTCTTTATTTTTGTTAATTGCTGTTTTGTTGCATTTGTTGTTGATAAGAGATTCGACAAGATTGTAATTGTTCTTCAAACATGCAGAGAGAAGGATTGTGTTTTGTTGATCATCAACGATTTCTGATAATCCGATTGTACATGCAACTTTTATTGTCGATTCATCTTTCACATCTGCTCTCTGCTAAAAGAAATTATAAATATCATCAAATTTGTTTTGAATTTGGAAGATATCTAAAAACTTCTTAATAGAAATTCCATTTGCTTGATTGGATTGACTTTTTTCGCATGCAATTGAAACGAATGATTGGTAATTGGAGTTTTCTGTTTGAATTACAAATGGATTTCGATTAAGAGTCGAATTTAACCTGTTTATCATATCTATAATTTCTATGTGGTGTTCTTTATACTCATTCTTCGTGACCAAATTCAATAGATTGCTCATTCCTGATGGTTTTATTTTCATAATATCGATCTTTTTAATTAAATAACCAAAAATGTTGCAATCGTTGATTAATTCAAGCAAAAAGTCGTACAAATGATCGATGCGTGCTTGCATTCGAAAATAACCAAGTTGTTCACATCGAGATATTATTCTATCAATGAAATCCTTGTTATCACGCAATTGATGTACGCCAACTCTGCAGAATTCAATGAGTTTTTTAATTTCGATATCAAAAAATTTTGTACCAATGAAATTGATTATATCTTGTAGAAATTCCTTGAGATTAATTACATGGTTTGGTAATTCTATCTGATTTTCTTGTGATTTTTTGATAAAAGTCAGATATTCTGTAATTTTATCAATCGAAAGCTTTTTCATATCAATTTTGGAAGAATACCATATTATGAAGTCCTCGATTTCTAATTCAACACCCACATGATAGAGATCTCGTATAACTTCATCATTTGGATTTTTGATTGCACATTCACTTTCTGAAAATAGTTGAATAAGTATTTCAAATATGTGATCACTGACAGTATTTATCTTGATTTCTTCTAATGGCTCTCCTCGCAGAAAATCTTTCCATACTTTTCTGCTGAAAACGCGTACTAGCTTTAATGAAATCATCTTTTCATGTTTTCCATCAGTCAGTTTGATTTGACTATCTCGATTTATATCTTCTTTGAGTCTTTTGTGAGCACGTTCAGCTACTAACACAGACATATTTTGTTTAATATTGAGTTTGAATGCCTCTCAAAATTCATTGTGAAAAATTTTATGAAAATCTATGTTATTTCCATAATAAAGGTGCAGGTTGAGAGTCAAACTCTCGATTGAAAAATCATAAAAATAATGAGGTGGTATTTTATTGTTATTTGAATTCACCTCATTTGTGATAGAACTTCTTTTTGGCTCAAGATGTCGCAGTTTTACATTAAAACGTATTAATGATATCAATGTTTATTGATCTAACTTTTTGGTAGAGAAGATTGAATGTAAATTTCTATATAGCTTGGTTTCATATGCAACTATGATTGAGTACTCATAATTATGTTTGATCTGATCTTAATGAAAATATCATAAGATAGTGTTTTTGGAGTGTGAGTCGGTAGACCCTAAAAAACGTTTTTCATTAATTTTCATGGATAAGAAAAGGGAACTCTATAAAAGATATTTAGACGAGAAACATGTAATGGATACTCTTTCCAAGATCATTGTTTCACTATATGAACTACAAGAAAAACCAGAAGATCCTTTGCAATACATTCAAGACTATTTAGGTAGTTCAAATGGTATCGACATGCCAGCAATCCGTACTGAAAATGCAAAAATGGCAAAACGCATAGAAGAACTCAAAGAACAACTCGAAAAATTACAAGCAAAGAATAATGAAGGAAAAACCTAGCTTTAAATGAACAGTTACTTGTTCCATTTGTAATTACTGCCATATTACGTAAAATAACTGTATGTTTTCCCATTTTCAATTTACATTTTTACTATGAACTAACATCCTTCTCTCAAAAGAAGTAAGTCTTATCATACTAGTATAAATCTATAATGTCAAGTGATCATATACGATCTTTGCGAATTCCATTGATAATTTAGATTTCAATTTGTAGCAAAATCGAATTAATTAGATCGGAATATGCAATAAATAGAGATTACTAAATATAATATGAAGATTACAATAATAAAATCTAGAGGTGAACATGAAAAAAAGTGACGCACATCAAACTTGAATGGGAAAATTTTTCATTACATATGGAAGGAGAAGTGCAGTCTCAGGACATTTTAGCGATCTCCTTCAAGAGCCAAAGCTATGGATTCGTGTTTTATACAACCCGCGATGGCTCAGTCTCAATTTCGGAGTCAAATTCCGCAAATTTCGGAATGAATTTCGAAAAAATTATTCACAGATATAATCCGTCCATCATTTGTATGCAGCCAAACATAGATAACGCCATTGCCACTATCATTAAAGACGTCAAAGATACAGAAATCCAAGTTCTCGAGCAAAACGATTTTAACTACCAGAATGGCATTGATTCCATGGCCCAAATACTCTTTACAGTTCCATCAGACGAACAGGATTCTGTCCGCCAGTCTGTCCTTTCCGGAATTGTTAATCTCCAGTCAAAGCCAATCGTCGCTGCCATCGGAGCTCTTGTAAACTTCACAAATAAAAAATACCAAAGTCCACCTATCGTTTCCGTGTTTTCCATGATGGAAATAAGCAATGGATTAGTTCTCAGTTCGAAAGCAATGTCCGATTTGCAGATAATCAAGCAAGAACTACATCCTTCCATTCATCAAATGACTTCCATCAAAGAAGGGGTGTCACTTTTTACTTTACTTAATCGTTGTTCCACAAAGATGGGTAAAGACAGATTGAAAGACTTGTTCACGAACATACCAAATGATATCAACCAAATAAACCAGAGACATGATATCTTAGAAGAGTTCACAAAGCCAGAATTCCATCCAATGGTAAATGAACTTGTTAACAAGATGAAAAACGTGACAGATGTTACAAACATCATCCAAAACGTGAAGAAAGGAACAATGAAAACAAAACTTTGGTCATCACTCGCAAAGTCTCTCTCGGCTGCTGCAAATTTTTGTAAATTTACTTTACAAAATACGTTACCAGAAAACCTGACACGTCACTTTTCCATTACTGATAAACTTGTCAATCTTTTAGAGAGTTTATCGCAGCAAATAGAGATGACAATTGATTTTTCAAAGGTTGCAGAAGTTTACATCAATGATGATTACGATCAAGAGTTAACTCGATTGAGGAAGATTTACAAGAACTTGGATAATCTTCTCAACGAAAAGGCAGTTGAACTGATAGATGATCTCCCCCTCAAATCTCCAATTCTATCGTTAAGTGTCGTATACCTTCCACAAATCGGTTTTCTGACAATGTGTCAAAAAGAAGGTCTGAAAAGAGAAGATTTGCCAAACGGTTATTTGTTATCTTTCGAAACTGACAGTCACTTTTACTGCAAGAATGAGATGATGAACGAGCTTGACAGAAACTACGGAGATATATACGGAGATCTCCAAAAGAGAACGATAAAAATAATTGTCAAGCTTTCAAATAGAATTTTAAGTCATTCTCATGAACTGTCAGAGCTTTACAAGTTCATTGGCGAAGTTGATTTATATTGTTCTCTTGCAGTTGTCTCTGTCGAAGGACATTGGATCAGACCAACATTTTCTGATAAAAATGAGATGAAAATTGTTGGCGGAAGACATCCTTTACTTGAAAAACTGACACCAACTGATTTCATTCCAAATACTATTGAATTTGGTAGTGACAAACCAAAGATAATAGTGATAACTGGTCCAAATGGAAGCGGCAAATCAGTTCTTCTCAAGCAAACGGCAATAATTGTTTTCCTTGCAAGTATTGGTTGTTTTGTTCCATGTCAGTTTTGTGAGTTACCTCAAATTGACAAAATCATCCCTGTTTTCCACAATGGAGGTGCTTCTGAACCTTTTTCGAGTGGTTTCTATGATGACTTGAAGATGCTCAGTGAAAGCATCAGGAAATCAACAAATAGAACACTCATCTTGGTCGATGAATTCGGAAAGACATCAAATAAAGATGATGGGGCATCTCTTTTGGCTGGTTTCATCAGATCAATGTCAGATAGAGGTGAAATGTCACCTTTTGTCATTATATCCACGCATTTCAGGGATATTTTGAAGGAAAATGTGATTGACAACAAACTGTTCATCAGAATGACGATGTCTGTTGATTGTTTGTTGTCGAAAGACGAATTACTTTTCCTTTACAAAGCTGTTTTGGGAGAAGATGAAAAATCTTTCGGATTCGAATGTGCAAAAAGAGGTGGATACCCTCCAGAATTAGTCGAAAGAGCAAAAATCGTCTGCAAATCTCTGAAAGAAGGAACTGATGTTCCTGAAAATCCTCTAATTGTCGACAGGGAAATGGATATGAAAATGAAAAGAGCTTTGAAGATTTTCTTCGATTGGAATGAAAACTCAGACCCAAGAGCTCTTATAGCAACAATCGAAAGCATCTTCTCTGATCATTGAACAATAATTTTTTTTAACTGATTTGATAAACAATTTATTATACTGATTAAAAAATGAATTTTTGACCAACTGGACAGGAATTATCTAAACTAATCTCGTGTTTGATGAGTAATGTACGTAATTAAGCACATGGTTGTCAGAGTTCGAACAATCAAGAAAGCAGGCAAAAAAACTCTATAAGGGCTTGAAAAGTCTTTTTTTTTCAGCAAAATTTGAGCAGATATGTATATGTATACGATTTATGCTAAATATTAATTTGCGATCAATTCAACGTTATCGGAGCGATTATTTCTTTCGGGAAAAAAAAAGGATTATTCGTCTGGAAAAGTGACAAAATTTACACTTTTCCGACGTTTTTTCAGGGGAGCGAAGCGACCCAAAAATGTCGGAAAAGTGTAATTCTTAGGTATATGATTATTTTTGCCTTTAATGCCGAACAGCATTTAAATCAAAAATAATCGTATGTTTGAGAATTATCATTTTCGTCTGGGATTCCAATGTAATGATATCTACTTGAATTGCAATGCATCTATTAGGAAATTTTGGTGAAAATAAATTGAATAGTTTGAGTTTATGATTTTGACTTCGTTAAAAAAAATTGACTCGAAAATCACAAAAAATGAAACATTTTGAAGTTGGAGCTAGAATGATAACATGCACAAGTAGCTATTAAATAAAGTTGTGTATGGGCGGATGGCGCTTAAATTAATAGAAATAGAGTCTGAGTTCTATAATTCAGATGTCAGACGAAAATGATAATGCCCATGCCTAAACAAATTTTGTCCATCAATCAAGTTGGGCAATTTTTTAAGGCTTGAATGGGATGATTTTTATGGGGCAGATCTTTCCATTACACAATATGAAGGCGAAACAACAAATCTTTTAAAAACTGATCAAAATTACTAAGTAAAGCGTTGCCTCTTTGCCGAAAATATTAAATCAAGTGCTATCAATTTTCAAACTTCGAAAAATACAACAAAACTATTAGTTGATACTTCCCAATTTTTAAATTGTAGTAATTCCAATAACGGGGAAAGTTTATACTTCTCCAGAGAAGGTGAATGTGTCCAAGATCGAATAATAAGTGACTCATCAAAAGTAACATCAAAATGGACTCAAGGAGTTCATTGTTATTCAGATGTTTCAGATAAAGAATCATTCCAAAACAAAATTGTTTCATCTTCAATTACTAAAAGTGGAGAAAATAACTTAGGAGATGTAAATATTTACCTAAAAAATGGAAAAATTAATTTCATAAATTCAAATATTTCTCATTCAAAATGCTATGCAAGAAGTGTTTCTTGTTTTGATTGTTATTTATCTGATTCAAAAGTTTTATTTTCTATATTTTATGATAATAAAGATAATACTCCAAGTAGTTCTGCCCCTGTTTACCTTACTAATTCACCATTATCAACTATTCTATTTGAAGCAACAAATTTCCAAAATATTACTGATTTTTGTTTAGTTTATGCAGATTCTTCTCCAACAAATATAACAAATTGTTGTTTCTCAAATAACAAAATTTCTAATTATGATTTCTATGTATATTATGCCAAAATTACAGTTGATAGATGTTTCATTGATGAAAAAGATCCAAAAACAAAAGATACAGTTGAAATAACTAACGAAATCAAAGATACATCTAACACAGATATTTGTAAAGTATACTATGAACTCGAATATCAAATTCTTGATATCAATAAAAATAAAGATAAAAATAAATTTAACACAGAATATTTTGAAAATATTGACAAAGCTCCAAAATATATAAAATTTTCAATCATTTCTACAAATTTAATAAACTTCACATTAAACACGTAAATTTCATTTTTCTGAATATTATAACTTCAACAATATGTTTAAAGGTGCTAAGTCATATCTTTGTATCTGTGTGAAGATAGTTGGATTTGAGGTTCTGATTTAAAATTCGAAAGCTCCTTAAGAGATGTCAATGACTGTCTTTTGATACTGTCTATCCCCTAATTATATTTGAAATAAGAAGCCCAAACTCCTACTTGGTAGATGGCATGGCATTTCAATTCAAAGTTCTTAATATTTTTAAGGCTTCTTTCCGACCAAACGGTCTGTATCGGCCTTCATTTCACATTCTTTCTGGAGATGAGGATTTTGATACCTCAAAAATAAAAAATTTCAAAAAAATACAACTTGGGTTCTTTTAAATGCTTGTTGGTAGGGCATTAATACTCCAGAGTATGAGGTCCGAAGTCGCTGGTTTTGCTCAAAATTAAATTGCATTATCCAAAATTTGACCGAAAGCATGTAACTCAAGAAGTATATTACGAAAATATCTAGAGAATATATTCAAACCTATTAATTTATTTTGTATTCCGAAACCAATAAGACGTTACATTTTTAAAAATTAGATTCAAAAGAATAGACGAAAAAATAAACAGTACCAATTCAAAAGAATGTTACAAACAAATATTTGTTCAATATAAAAAGTATAATTACTTGAAATTAAATTTCAAATTTTTCAAATACCCTCTATTTCCAGGAATTACCATTTAAGGTTATTTTTTGCATCAAAAAAATTCAATTTTAGCATGATTGAAGTATTATTTTTAAAAAATAACAATAAAATATTAATTTATACAACAGTGTTATATATCCCTTACATTTTTGTAGCAAATGGAGAGGGTAACGGCGTCGAAATTGCAGAATTTCAAATCTCCTTATCTCAACGAATACAAGAGGGATGGGACTGAAATTAGGCTATTTTAATAGGTATGAGGTATCAAACATTTTCACTGATGAAAAATTGAAAAAGCTGATTTCAGCTTTCTAATCATACCTTATATATGAGGTATCATATCAAAATACTGATATGTTATTACTTTATGTGGCCACCTGAATGTTCTCACAATTTGTTTGTATAGATATAAATAATTATAATTAAATTTAAAATTAATCTTTTATTCCTAAAATGAATTACTTTTTTGACATTTTTAGAACTTTTATATTATGAAGTGAATAATCCCAATTGTAGAAATGATAAGGATAAGAAATTGATTACTAAAACAATAGTATTTCAAAGTGTTATGATGTTTAATGTATTTACATAGATGTGGATAAACGAAAAATATATTTTAATTCGAATAAATTGAAAAATCTATTTCAATCTTTTGCAAGGAAAAGGCTAATGCACATGTATTTACTAAAAGAATGGAGTATTAATGATATAATCAACAAATCCTGCATTTATTTTGATAAATATTCATTTTTTAAAATTTTGACGAATTCGAGGTCTTGTTTCGGTTCGAATTCGTGAAAAATAAATATTTTCAAAATTTGATAAATGATATAGTATCATCATCCAAATAGAATGCTTCTATTATGCTTTTTATTGATTTATTTCTATTTTATTGGGATAATCAGATTTTCCTTTGAGTGTGAATGATATACTTTTGTCACAGCACTAAATCATATAAAATGTGCTGAATTTGTTTCCGCTGTTTATTTTCAATCTAATCTATTCTAATAGTAGTTTTCATGCGTTCGAAGTTTCAACAAAAAAGTCTATGAATACTCAAAATAATTGATTTTTATATCATTAAATATAAGGGTTTCGTTTTGCTAAAATTGTCACTTTTATAGCATATTTGTTTTTGGATGTTTTGCGAAACCAAAAAAAAAACTATGATATACAATGTGTGTGTAAAGAAAATACTTTATTTACTAGTTAAAAAATCATTTGGTATTGATCAAGTTTTTTTTCTGGATAAGATATTATATGGATAATTGGATAGAAAATACAATTATATAATCTTGTACCTGGTTTAATTAAGCTAATTGTCATCAGAAACTTGTAATTTTTATGAATTTCAGATTTTCTTTTCATTACTGCTTTTCTTAATAGGTCAAGTTCTTATTTACGTTATAAAGTATGATATTTACAAATATCAAGTTATCGTGTTTTTTGAGAAATTATAAGAAACAAACAAAAATGAAAAAGATAGGAATAGCAATGAATAGTGATGTGGGTATAGAAAATGTAAGAGATATGAATGCAAAGCAATCAGTATTTAGGATATTGACCATAGATTTCGAAAAAAAAAATGCTGCATATTGAGCGAAAACTATGATTATATTATAAGGCTGTCATTTAAAGCATAATGAAACTATTCCCTTTTCATTTTAATCGAATAAGATAGTAAAGATTTTTGAATTAGCTAGAAACTGATGAGATGTTTTCACAAATCAGATTTTTAATCTCTATAATGCATAATTCACTCAATATCTCAATTTTGATATTGCGAGATATTTTTGCTATCGGTTTCGCAATTTTGACACAATAGCAAGAGGGTTCTATAAGCATTATTATCAACGTAGAATCTGAATATCATATCAGAAAATGTCGCAAATCTAACATTTACCCGACCAAATAGCAAAAATAATTGAATACTTTTCGCAAAAACTTTAAAAATCGATAAAAATATGAAATATAGATATTAAAGAGACTTTTTATATAATATTCATAAAGATTTTCCAAAAATATGATACCGCAAAATTAAAAAAGTGACGTCTTGAGTGGAGTCAAATGTCGAAATTGCTAGCTAAATGTTTTTTTAGCGAAATTGCGTATTGTACGTTTTTTTCGCAAAACGAAACCCTTATTAAATAGTATTTTTAGTGGAGAACAAAGCATATTTTAACGTCAGCCAGGAATTACCGTTTTACCAAAATTTTTGTTTTTGAGCAAAAATTTTATCATAAAAACACTCTTTATATCATAAAAATGCTATATTATAAAAATCAAAAATTTCAACTTGCAATCAAATCATATTAAATCTCATGTCTCATATTTCCATACAAAGTACAAAATCATAAAATTCAATATCTTTTCTATCCTATCCTCTTTTAAAATGCTTCGAAAATGTCTATATATGTCGAGATATAGAAGCTTTTTTAGAAGGTGGGAAAAAAGTGACGGTAATTCCTGGAAATAGAGGGTACTAATAAAGTTGGCCTATGATCTT